ATTATTACTTCCGAAGGCAATTCGCATATTTTTATATATATTAAATCGTTTATTTAAATTTTTTTTTTTTTTTTACTGAGTCATCTTAAATGGATTTCAAGAATTTTTTTTTTAGTAGTTCATTCATTGTCCATTTTTGAAAAAATCCTTTCAAACCTTTTTTATCTTGACAAAGGAAAAAAAAAGGAAAGAGAAAGGTTGAGTTTTAATTTTTTCTTATAAATTACGATGTATTCGATGTAATAATCGCGTGGGACAAAACGAAATCATTTTTTTTTTCCTCGTGTTTTATCCTTTGGGAAATAAATTAATACCTGTTGTACTTTTGCCCTCTTGTACCACCATCACCACCACCCCCCCTCATTACCACCGTCATAAAAAAACTTTATTAGTCAGACAGAATTATTGCACAATATTTGTTAATAATTTAAATAGGGTTATGCAAAAGAATTTTTTTTTTTTCAAATGGATTTCATATTCGCGCGAAAAGTCTCACAACAAACAACAAAAGTCATTAAATCGTATATCGTATATACGTGAAAGAGCGTGGCATTAAGTGCAAAAAAGCAGATGTGTATAACATAAAATTTTTAACATTCAATCGTATTAAATGCATCGGCCATTAAAAAATGAAATTCCCTCCCTAACGTCAGGGATTAAAGTTTTCACTCACTCTAAAGTTTAAATGGGGGGGAGGGAGAAGTAGCAGGGAGGTATGAAGGGGAAAGGGAGGAGACGCGTTCGAAACGACGGATAGGAAGGCAGACAACAAAAAAAAAAAAAGAAAACGTTTCTTCATCTTATTTTTTTTTTTAATAAAACATAATTTTTAAATTTACATATGAAGTGGATAATTGAAAAGAAAAAATCGAGGGGCCGTGAAAGGGAACCAGTAAAAAAAAAAAGGGGGCCGATATGGGGGGGAAGGAGACTCCAGCTTCTTTATCCGGTATTCATTCGCAGTAAGTCATCCAATCAGCCATGGTTATCACCTTGAAAGAAATTGATGGAATATTGCTAGTCACGTCCGCCGATTCACGAACCTTTACGGATTTTTTACCTTTTACATCCCGTTTTTAAAATAATATTCCTTTGACATTTTCCTTTGATTTGATAAATCATTTTATTTTTTTTTCTCACAAGTGTTATTACTACTGCCACTGACGACGAGTTTTGTTGTTTTTTTTTCATTCCTTTCCTTCTTTTTCACGTTCGTTTGTTAGTTTTGTTTATTTTTTCTAAAAAAAATTTTCCAAAAAAAAAAAAAAATATTTTTTTAACTTTTTTTCTTATCATATCCAGAAGACGGTTACATAAACAATAAAATTTAAGAGGAGGTACCCATAAAAAAAAGAAACCCACGTGACCCTTTTATATATTTCTCAAATATATATGCATGTGTGTGTGTGTTTAACTTAATTTTACTAGTAATAAACACGAATTTATTATTATTATTATTTTATTAAAACTCGACTAATAAATTTATTTTTTTATAGATCATTAAAAAAACATTTTTATAATATAATTATTATTATTATTATTATTATTATTATTATTTTAAAAATATATATATTTTATTGGATAAAAATCGGTTGTTTTGATCGTCTGCTATCGATCGGATAAAAAAAAAATAGAAAAAGAAAGAAAAAAATGTTTATTATCAAATCCCTTTTTTTGTTGTGTGTTTAGAAAAATCCGTTTGTTTGTTTGTTCCTGTACAACAAAACAAAATTGAAACAAATACTTTCCGCTCGGTCGTGATAACGCAACTCCCCCTCCCCTTTTCCTACCTTTGATACTCTGATAACATTTTTATAAAGATTAAAAAAATATTTCGGAGAATCCAAAAAACAAAATTTTACCGTTGACCTTTTTTTTGTTTTTATTAATCAAACAAACAGATACAAACAAACGTAATAAAAAAAAATTAAATGAATGAATAAATAAAATTATGTTTTTTGTTGTTGTTGTTGTTGTAAGAATCGCATTTTTCATTTCTTTTTTTTTTGTCCATTGTTTGTTTCTGTTTGTTTCTTTTTGGCAGGAGGCAGACTTTTATTTAAATCATGAATTTTTCTTTTATTTTTTTTAAACTCGTACCTTGTTTCTTTTTTTTTTACCTCACTACATATATATAACAAACACAAACAGAGGTATAAAAACAATTTTTTAAACCTATCGTGTTGTCTTTTTTTTTGTCCCCCCTCCTTAACATTTTCATATCATTTATCTTTTTCTTTTATTTTTCTTTCTCGCCATCTTTTTTTTTTTCCTAATAAAATTTCACGTTTTTAATAATAATGAATAATAATTGTCTGGTTTCGGTACTGATATCAACTAACGTAAACTAATTTCAATTTCATTAAAAATAATTTGACAGCATGACATGTTATTTAAATTTTGACATTTAAATTTAAACTTGAAAAAAAAAAAGAAAAAAAGGAAAAAATGTCGGAAAACCGGAAGGACTTTGTAGGGGGATGAAAATTGATTTCATCCTCGTCGTCGCACTTTAAACGAATTCATTTGGAAATAATTTTAATTGTGTTGAGGTTGGTACTTTTCCCTTCCTCCCTCCCAAAAAGGATGAAAAAGACCACCTAAGAGAGAGAGAGATGTGAGGGTTGACAACCTTTCGAGTGGAAAACATTTTATTAAGAACAACCAGCCTTTTTTTTTTTATCTTTTTTCTTCCTTTTATATAAAAAATCCCACGATGAAATTTTTTTTTTTTAATTATTCATTCGTCTTTTCATTATTATTATTATTATTATTATTATTATTATTATTATTTAATCGTCGGCTGCTTTATTAATCATATTTTAATTTTATATAATAAAATTAAATTTTTTTTACTCCGGATAATATTATCCGTCTGAAAAGTTTTCCGGGAACCATAAAAAAAATAAAAGTTTTTTTAAAATATTGCACAAGAATCTGCGGGTACGAAATAAACAAACAAACAAACGGGTTAAACTTGTCAAGTAAAAACACAAAATTTACAAAAAAATAAATAAAAATAAACATTTCAGGTACTTAAATTTAAAAAAATCCTGATTTTTCCATTGCGAAAAAAAAAATTATCTTGTAAACAATACAAGATGAATTGTTATTGTCACGTGATCGATTTTCATTACAACACCTGCCTGCTTCGAATTTCTTTAAACGATTAAAACAAAAAAAAAAAAATTCCTAAAAGCAGACGACGTCTGTGAAAATTTGTTTTAATTTTTTTTTTGTTTTGTTAGGGTCGTCGTACCATTTGTAAATTGATCCCTTCGGACAAATTAATTTTTTTTTTTTTTCTCTTGAGAAAATTTTTTTTTTTATTGATTGGTTATTTGTTTTTCGAACGAATCGATAAAATCGATACCTCCTTGTTAGAAAGTTGATTTTATTTGGGTAGCCTTTAAATATTTTTAATAATTGCAAAATAATTTTTGTTTTTATTAAAATATTTCGCGGTACGGGAAAAAATTTTTATTACTAATTTAATACCAATAAAAATAAATGATTTATGATTTTTTTAAAAGAAATAAACTTTCCCCCTCCACCACCACCCCCCTCTATTCGGAAAAAAAAATTCCATTCAACATTTAACCTTTCTACCCAATTTAAACTTTAAAAAATTTTATTGCGAATAAACCTCCTCCTCCTCCATTTTTTTTTTTCTAAATAAAATCCGCCCCGAAACTGAAACTAAAAAAAAAAATACGAGTTTAAATGAATTGGCATTCAATTAATAATCAATTTAATACTAAATCCGATTTAGTGAAAGCTTGCGTATCCACCTCCGTTTAAACCCCTCCCTCCCTCCCTTCCTCCTCCCTTTCCCCCCTCCCTTGGGAATACATCACGAACATACCTGAATCATCACCCTTTGATACTTTTTTTTATTAAACTTGCTGAAAAGTTGAAAATGTTTTTTAATTATATAAGATATAGTTTGTAATTAGGTTCTGATTTATGTTTTTTTATTAAAAAAAAAATCCCCTCGGGATACGAGACGTTGTCTCCCCATAAAAAAAAAAAAAATTTGATAGCGAAAAAATTTCCGGAAGAAATTAAGGAGGTATCGTATTTCCATAAATATGTGAATGAGTATTACTTTTCGTCACGCATTCATTTATTATGGTCAATGCTAAGATGATGGGTTACGAAAAAGATCTAATTTCAGGTATTCATTCTGGAATTTTTTTTTTTTTGTATCACGAATCCTGGAATTATTATTTCGATACGTACGAGCAGGTACGTTTTCGTCGTCGTGAATGATAAAATCTTAAAGAATAAGAAAAATTTTTTTAGTTTTCCCAAAGGATTTAAATATTTCCCCTTTCGAGAGTTTCAAGTCGAAAGTTTTCGAATTTGGGTCAAGTTTGAAAAATTTTTTTAAAAATATTTATCGACCTTAACATTGGTCAACCCCCGATAAATCACGATTCCCTTTCTTCCCCTTCCTCCTCTCCCCTTTTTAGAGAGGAAAAAAAGGCGTTAAAGGGTTTTTTTTTATTTAAAAGGGAAAACAATCGGGAAAAACCCAAAATTTAATGCGACGACGGAAAAGGAAGTGAAAAAAAGAAAAAAGTTTTTTTTAACACTTTTTTTCCCTCTCTCTCTTTCTCTCTCTTCTGTTTTTTTTATTTTAACGAGTGGGAAGGAGCGACAACAGCAGCAGTGGCAGTAGTAGCAGTAGCAGCAGAAACAAAAATTTTTTTTTTTTTTAATCATGTAATACAAATAACTCAAAAATTTTCGTTTCGACAACATCGAAACGATCGATTTTTTTTTTTTCTTTTGCACCCCATTAAATTTTTTAGTTTTTTAGTTTGTTTTCTTTTCTTCCCCTCCCTCCGCCCCCTCCATTCTGTTTTTCAGGTACGTTCGTGACATATTTTTCGATTCGATTCGATTTCGATTAATTTATACTTTTTATGACACAAAGTTATATGAATATTCGTACATAATCCTATCGAAATTTAGTAAAATAGTAGTTAAATAATAATAATAATACGAAGAAGAAGAAGAAGGAAAAAATGCTTTTAAAAACACGTCGTTCAAACGTGGCAATAGATTCAAAATCAAATGGACGTGAATGGACTGTTTTGATAGCCACCGTGTCAGACACGCTAATAAAATTCATCGATGATAATTTTTCTAATGAAGTCGCCTTCTTAATAGTTTCAATAATTTTTTTTTTTTTTTTGTTTCTATCATCAAGATTGAAGAAGGCAGGTAACAAAAAAAAAATCAGGTTTACCTTCGACAAACAACAACCAACAAGAACAACCAAAACAAAAAACAAAATTGACGGTAATTAGAATGTTATCAAATAATTTGTTTTAAAAAAAAAGGGGGGGATTACGTTTCAAAAAAAAGTAAACAACAACTTCTGCCAACATTAAAAAAAAATACATTAATAAAAAAAAAAGGGGTACCAAATTAAAAAAAAAAATTTCCCTACTTTTTTTTTTTTTTTAAATATTTATCGATTTTAATTTTTTTTTGAAAACGAATGTCTGTTGACACGTTTTGTTTAAAAAGAATTTTTTTAAAAAATAATTTAAGTAAGTGAAAAAAAAAAAAAAATTTCCAGCTCCAGTTTTATTTTTTTTGGTTTTTGTTATTGTTTTGATAAAACAACAATAATAATAATAATAATAATAATAATAATAATTTTTCCGTTTGTCTAGAAAAAAAATTTATGGAACAAAAAAAAAATGAAAGAAAAAAAATTTTTTTTCCTTTTTTCTATCATTTTCCACCAAATGCAATTTAATATAATATAAATTTATATTTAAAAGAAAAATTTATAACATTTTATTTAATCGTGTTCAATAAGTTGCAAAAGTTAAAGAAAAAAAAAAAGAAAAGTGTTTAAAGTTACGGAAAATTTTCTTGTATCCGACCCTGATCTACCCCCCCCCCCGCCTTTCACCGCCGCCCATCCGATTTTTTTCTCATTTAAAATAAAAAAAATAAAAAAATTTTCTGTCGATTTATCGTTTTTTTTTTTTTTTAATTTATGTTTGTCTGTTTGTTTGTTTGTTTGTTGTCTTCTCAACACATTTTCGAGTAAAATTGTTTTTTTTTTCCATCGATTCTCTCTCTTACCGAAGGATTGACTAACACGTTTTAGAAAAAAAAAAAAAATTTTTTTTTAAAATGTTTTTAAACGTGAATTTTAATCGTTTTTAAATTTTTTACTTTTTTTCTTCCTTTCCCTCCCCCCCCCCGTTTTCTCCTCCCGCTTCTTTCACCCATTCCTTTTTCACGTGGCTCTACTACCATTTCCGGTTGAACGATTGGAAAAAAAAAAAAAAATGTTTATATATATATCGATTCATCGAACGAAACGAAATCTTCTTCGTTTTTCTCTTTTTGTTTTTGTTTTTTTGACAAGGTTTAATTACTAAAAAAACGTATCGATATATCAAATTCGAGATATCGTTAAAACGAGATTTAAACACAAAGTTAATTTCATATTTCGACCTTTTTCTTGTTGGTCATTTAAAAAAAAAAAATTTTATTACTTTTATTTGTTTTTCAACTTTTTTTTTTCTTTTTTCGAAGAGGAGGAGTAGGGGGAGGAGGGAAAGGGGGCGGGTTGTTAAGGGAATAAAAAACAAAAAAAAGGGTTTTTGCCGTTTTTTTTTTTTTTCCGTTTCACCTGCCCTTTTAATAACCATTTCGACATACCTGTTTTGTTTTTTGTTTTTTTTTTATTACGGTCGGGATGGATGAGGATGATGATGATGATGATGGGAGAAATGGGTGCTTGAAGGGGGACGGGAGAGGGGGAAGGAAGAAGAAGAAGGAGGGATGAAGTTAAATTAACGCAATTAAATTTTATTAAATCATTTAGTTTAATCAAGACCCGGGAGAGTAAAAAAAAAAAAAAAAATTATTATTATTATTATTATTATTAATTGGACGGATGGGAGTTTATTTATTTATTTTTATTACTCTTACGTTTATCTATTTATTTATAATATTTATTGACTTTACGTCATTTCTCTCTCTTTCTCTCTCACTTTTTCACTTTCCTTCATCCTTTTTTTTTGTTTCTATCCTTTTTCGAACCTTTCCTCGAGCTATTTACTTTTTGAAATTTACTTTTCCATTTCCCCTCCCCTTTCTCCCCACCTTCCACATCTGTTTGAAATTCGATCCGCCTTCAAAAAAAATTTTTTTTTTTTTAAATCACGTCGTATCTAAAAAATTAATTATTAAATTTCTTCAAAAATTAAAAAAAGGAAAATTATTCATATTTTCTTTAATCAAAAATTTAAATGACTGATAAGAATGAGAATAAACCTGATATGAATCAACCTGAAATTCCACAAAAAAAAACCTGAATTTACTTAAAATTTAATAATTAATAAAAATTTTTCTAACAAAAATTCGTAAGCTACGCCCATAAGTTAATAATTGTAATAAATGAAAGAGAGAGGGGGGAGAGAGGGAAGGAGGGAAGGAGGGGGAGGAGGATTGACCTGGAGAAGGAAACATGTTAATTACAACAAAAAAAAAATTATTATTATTATTATTATTATTATTGAATATAATTTATTCTTGAAATTTTTATTCTTTTTTATCAATTTTTTCCTCCATTTTGTTTATTAACCTAACTATGTAATTAAATACCCGTTTTCGTGTTTTTTATTAAAATAAATACTTTAAATAATAATAATAGTAATAATAATAATAATAATAATAAACGTGAAATTAAAATCAATTATACAGAAGTTAATTTCTCACAAATTAATTTTCATCTCTCTCTCTCTCTCTCTCTCTCTCTCTCTCTCTCTCATGATTTAAAATGTCTCTACATAAGTAAACAATTTAAAAAAAAAAAGAAAAAAGGGAAGAAGACACGTTTAAAATTCAATTTAATTTGTTACGTCAATCAAAAAGAAAAAAAATTCACAAGCATGTTATATATATATATCATATTATCATATCATTATATAAACGTAGGGTTTTTATATTGTTGTGTGGTGTGTGTTGTTCACGTGTAATTTTTTATGTTTTTAATGTTAATTTTATGTAAGGTATACATGATATAATTTCAAACATTTGATTTTCCACGATAATTACAGTCAGTTAAAGTATAAAAATAAATTATTATTATTATTATTATTATTATTATTAGTATTAGTATTATTATCGTTTTTGAATTTATGTTTTTATTAGATTTAGAATAAGAAAAAAAAAATCGATTCGTTTCAGGCTTTGAAAAGAAAAGAACAAAAAAAAATAGAAGACTTTTTCTTTTTTTTTTTCCTTTTTTTTTGTTTTAAATAATTTGAACTAAAATCTAATTAAAAAATTTTCAAAGAATTTCCAGGAATAAGTTTTTTTTTTTTTTAATTCCAGTCTAACAACAGCAAAAATAAAAAAAAATATTTTTCTTGTACGACAGCAAAATTGTAATAAGAAAAAAAAAGAAAAAAAATTTTTTTATTTCTTTCTTTAAAACACACTTTTTGTTATTTTTCTCTTTTTATTTACATTTAAAAAAAATTAAATATAAAAAAAAAGGGGAGAGTGTAGGAGTAGGGGGAAGTGGGGTGAGGGGTGGGATGAGGGGGAGATCAGGTACGTCGTCACGTAATTGTACAAGAATTATTTATAAATGTCGACAACAAAAAATTTTAATAAAAAAATATTTTTTTTTTTTTTTAAATTCATTTCCGTTTAATGTTTTTTTTTTTTTTTTAGTAAATTGGCAGCAATGATTTCAAAACGAAATTATTTTTTCGTAATTATTATGCAAAAAAATATTATTATTATTATTTTATTTTTAACGTATTAATAAATTTGAAACAAAAGAATTTCGAAACATTTTAAACAAAAAAATAAAAAATTTTTTTTTTTTTAATAATTAAAATTGTAACGAACAAACAAACAAACAAACGCATAAACGTTTGTTTTCCGTTTCTCAGAAATAAAAAAAAAAAACTTAAAATTTAATTATTTTAATTTAAATAAATAAATAAATGGACGCGGCAAATTAAAAAAAATTTTTTTTTTCTTCTGCTACAAATTCAAAAATTAATTTTTTTCCAAGAATTTTTTTTAAAATTTAATTTAAAAAAAAAAAAAAATCGAACAAACAACGGAAACGACAAAATTTTCTTTACAAGAAACGTTAAACGATTTCGTTTTGAATTCCGGATATTGAATGACCTCGAATTATACACAATAACAAAATAATAATAATAATAATAATAATAGTAATAAATTTATAATTAATTCGTAAAAAAAAAAAAAAAAAACGATGCTGACAATCTTACACGTAAATCAATAAATATTATCATATATATTTGATAACATGTTAAAATTAGCGTGATAAAAAAAAAAAGGAACGTGGCAACAAACAACAACAACAACCGTGGTGTCATACCGAAGATGTTAAAATAATTTTTGCTTAACAGGGGGCCAAACAAACAACATCATGGTAGATCTAATATCTCAACTTGGCACCGATCATGAACTCTTATTAGTTTTAACTTAACTAAATCACGTATACGATTTACATTTAAAAAAAAAAACGTAGATTATTATTATTATTTTTTTTTAATAACTTTATTCCGGAAAACAGCCTAAAGTGTCTTTATCTAAAACGTGGAATAAGACATTTTCCTCCCTCTCTTCTCTTTCCTTCTCCTTCCCCTCACTCCATCCGCTTTTTTTTTCTTCTTAAAAAGCTGACACAACAAAAACGTTTGAAAAATAAATTTTTTTCTCCTCCGGGTTAGTTCATCATCATTATTATTATTATTATTACGGACATTTAAATAATTTAATAAATAAGAAAAATGTATATACACACACTTTTAAAAAAAAAAAATAAAGATGATGATAATAATAATATTTTCTTTGTAATAAGAAAAAAAAAAAAAGAAAAGAATTATTTTATAATTGGCAACGTGACATGCACTTCCACCCGAACGAAGCGAAAATATTTGCACGAAAGGGTCATTTATTCAATTTCCA